CCTTACCGACATTCGCACTGAACCTCAAAATCAAACTGATTAGCTTTACGACCAGGAAAAGAAACCTGGGTCCTAGTAACAATGCCCTTGATCGTCTAATCTCAATGTGGAAAGTTGTCCACGTGCCTTCCTGGATTGTCTGTAATATTGAACACGGTGTCCAGCTGGTGCACAAACGGACGGACATAAACACTGAAAACATCATTGTGTTCCAGTTTCTCCTATCGATCACAATGCGATACAGTTTCCATCACGTGGTCTCCTGATAGTATTCTGTGGTACCTTATTTTCCAGTAAGAACAGGCGTCAGGTTTAAAAGACGCTAATAGGTTTTGCTCATTTACTCTGACTGCATACCAAACATGTATTTGCGTTCCATCTGGGGGCATAATTGGATTGCAGATTTCTAAACGAGACTGGGCTGAATTCTCACAATTATGTAGTGTGATAGTTTTCCAGCATATCAAGGTTAACAATCCATCACCCGGCGGATATTATTGGGGTGTATTGTGGCATTTGTAAGTGATTGATAGGTTGAGAAAATTGATTTCCCATAGATTTTTTGCAAATGCTCCCCAGATAAGGAAAACAAAGCCAGTGAGAAGTTGGATGACATCACTGACAAAAAGAAGTCCAAGGAACTTTATAATTTCTTGACTGGAATATCAGGTGTCCACTATACGGTTGGGACCATTGACAACACCGGAACATCTTATTGAATTGCAAGCTAACAGGAACCAGTCTGATGGCTTTCAAAAGATATTCGAGCTCCATGGGAAACAAGTATCAGAAGACAAGGAAGCAGCCAAGAATTAATTAAATAGAGGGGAAAGGGTGGATGTCGAGATGAAAGGAAAATCCTATTGGAAGTGAACTGTTCTAAAAGGGGATTCAGAATCAGTCGGGATCTCTCGGCGTGAGACAGGAAGTCCTAGAATCCCTTAGAATCAATAGTTAAGAGGCACCTTAACAACATAACACAGCACATCCGATTTCTCGGTGAGTCCAGTGAAACCAAAAATAGCACAAATTTCAACCCAACGTCTTCCCTCAGATGTTTTTGCCTTGCACTTGTGTGTACGTGCACACACACTGAACGAGGCTAACTTACGGCTTCGACTACAAGACACTGTTTAAATATGCAGCTTACGCTGCAGACTGTCATCTTTATCGAAGGCTTTGGGGGCGTGAACCCACGAAGACTGCGGTTCTATCGTTAAACAATGCTATTGAATTTAGCCTAAACCTGATAAAGTAGCTTTTATTAGACCTGACAAAAAGGCTGAAAATATATTCAGTCTGATTATGAACATTCACAGTTCTTCACCACTTGTGACTACCCACCACGCAGTTTTCTGTCAAACATTCTCAGGAACGTGTTCCCAAAACCAACGAAGGGGGCACCGTACAATCCCTCAGGATACAGTGCAGTCCCATGCCATCATTAGCACAGGCCTAAGGATATTGTGTGCCATAAATAGGCTCCACCGCTACGCCGAATTCTTCTACTGGAACCTGTCGTTTTGACTAAATGTGAATCAGTCTAAGAGACAAGGTCATCAGACAAAATTTACGATAACTCAAGCATTCCATCCATGCTTGCTTTTCCCTGGTTGCGACGTACTCAATATTCAATACACTCATCTCAATTGATACAGGTATTGTCTGTTAAGGTTTTAAAGTGCCGTCAGCGCATCCAGTGGAATGGTGTTCCCGAAACTATGAAACCATTTCACAGTGTTTACTCATTATCTTTAGTATTCAAAGAATGTCCAGGAAAGTTCAAGAGGACGCTTGAGAATGTTCCCTTTTCAAAAATTCCGTGCAAATGCTATTTTCACTTTCGTGTCTAATAGCTTGTAGCCACTTAGTTCGGGTTGGTCAGTAAACGACTCCGCACTCGTGATTGCCCTTCCCCTCACTAGCATTCCAAAACCTTGACTGTCGCGGGCGGATTGGTAACTTTATCCAAGTTTGTTTGTGCATGGTGTGATGCAAATTTTCACTGCGGTTCATGTTTTCCCGTAACACTTGGAGTCATATTATCATTCGTCAGTCCTGTGCACATAGTACATTCTTATATGACAAAAAAACCACGATGTATGTACTCAGTCTCCGTCCAGATCGGTTCCAACTTTAGTTTCATCGCTCAGTCAATTGACAACGTTTCTTGACATCCGCGGGCGTGAAACACACAACGGAAGTTTCGAAATGTTTGCGCTACTCCTGAAACATAAGTAACCCAAATTGGAAGAGAAATTTTGCACACGGATCGCGGGCTGGAAAACATCTTTCGAAACTTAGGATGTCTCTAAAGCCTTGGTAGCTGAGTCCTCAGTCTCACCTGTTAAGTTGCGCATAGTGGACTATTAATGCCACATAGTCGTCTCTGAATAACGATTAGAGTGATTCGCGAATAGACCACTCTAATAGGGATCACGCCGCATTAGACAGACACCGTCACATCAACGAACTAAAGTCCCCGACTGGCTACTGAGAAATTCTCTGCGCTTAATGTATATTCTCAATTTTAACACTAGTTTTTATCATTTAAAGCAAGTCGACCGGTACGTAATATTTAAGACAAATCGCAAAACAACTACCTTCTTAACACTGGCAACATGCTACTTACTCTGAATCTGAGCGTGTAGCATCTTGTAATTCCCAATCTCAAGAAATGTCTAACTGATCACTCTACACAAGTCAAAAGCTGGACATCAAAAAGGAGCATGCGCCGAATTTTCTAGATTATCTTTTATTGTAAATATCACCGAGAAAAAATTGTAAAATATATAAGTAGTGACCGACAGATGGTCTGCGCCAGCCTGTCAAATTTTTTTGTGCTAATTTAAAAATGAATTGATTTGCAATCGGGTACGCACTTATGCTTGTTTTATTAGATTGCTTGTTTCTCCTATGAGCTTCAAATATTAGATTGCTTGTTTCTCCTATGAGCTTGTTACTTCAAGCCGGAAGACTCCATTCCTAAACCCTTCAATACGAAGCGATACTTGTGGGAGGTTACTGTGTATAATCACTTCATGTTGTATAGCTTGATTATTGGCCCCTTTTCAGCTCTCATAGGAAATTTCCCGTTCACTTTAACCTAGTCTCTTAGATGAACGTTTGCGTACAAAATATATCTACACTGTGCGCTGTATTCGTCGGCTGGCTTACATTCTCTTCGTTTTGTATTCATCTGTAATTAGTGGACAGTCCATTGACGATCACTGCTTCTTGAGTGCGCTTACTTTCTGAACCAAAGAAGAAAATCTCTCAAACCCTCTTCGTATTTGCACTTTGTGCACTTTTAAAAACGTGGCTGAAAGCAATCGGTGAAGCGGAATCGGTGTCCCCATGGCGTTTACAAGGCATTATACCGTATCTGTCTTCTCAGCCAGGACTCAGTATTATCAGTAGGTAGGAGCAGATCAGTCGCCTTCTTCAGAGTATAATACAGTGCAAATTGCCGACAGCCAGTCTTGTGTACTTATCAGGGACTGCACGATTGCAACTGATACCGGTAATGGTGAGCAAGCATAACACGCCTGCTCCACAGTGTGCATAGATGGTGCTTTCTTTAGACCTTAGAACATTTGCTTCGATATTATATCGTATTGTAAAGGAACCCTCAAAATTCGCAAGTAGCAAATTATAATGATATACCGGATTCACTCGGGAAAGTAGCTATCAAACTGGTGTAGCATATTGCTAGGATGAGCCTCAAAATTAAGTGTCAACTTCAATTGGAATTACATCCTGCCAGTGAGGCCAGTCTAATCTGAGTGGTTGTACAGTTGTTTCATCCTTGTGGGGAGTAAAAAGCAGCACGCATCTCATGAAGCTCAGAGAGAGGTTCGAACACTGAAAATTTCGGGCAGTGATTGAGTGCTTAGTCGTTCAACCTTCGGCGGTTGAACAGCAGTGCGACTGGATCTCACCCAGCTTGGCCCTGCGTTTGCAAAGACGAAAACTAGGCCTATCCACACGGTCACCTCCACAGTCCTCGTTCTTCCTTTGCGGACTCTTGACCCAAATTTGTGACATGTCCCATCTTCGGATTCTTGTCCGTGCAGCCCACGAAATAACTCGATTACTGATATGTCGCCATTCCTAAATCCGGCTCAACGTCTTCTGTTCAAAGCATCCTCTTTGTGTAGTCCAGCGCTAATGTGACGAAACCAGGTCTTTGAATGTTATACTCTGAATTGTCCAATTAATCTCGTCAAAACAATTTTCGTTCCTGATGTTCCGTCAAATAATATCCTCCTGGGTTCGTTCATTTTAACATCAGATTTTCTCTATAGTGTTTTAGAACTTCTTACTAGCGAATCATTTTTAAGGTAGTGATTTGGATTTTAAAAATTATTTGAGGTCTTGAATCACGTGAGCACATTTCCCTATCATCGAAGATTGTTATCTAAGCAATCTGCTGTTCACAGTATTTTGTGCTTGGAAGGGTGTCAGAAGGATCTCAAAGACCAGTTTTTATCTTTTTCGGCTTAATATTTTCAGTGTACCTTCATAACTTCTGTGTTTATAAAGTTGTTACTTTTTAATTTATTTGATTAGATTTCGTCATTCGTAGACTCATCAGACCAAATGGTTAGGAAGAAGTGCACGCAGACATCGAATATCTAGCCAATCACCGGCGTCGTACACCTCAACCCGCAAATCGTCATGCGCATACGCTTCCGAATTCACTGTGAAAATCCACACATACTCATGCACACAAGCTCACGTTGAGTCCAACACCAGCCCTGCCATCCGGATTCTCACCCCCTACCGTTGATTGGTTCGCACACCCCTACCCCTTTTTGCGTGCAAAGTCCTCCCATGCTTTTCAATTGGCCATTCCCCCATCAAATTACCCATTGGCCGAGCTGAGCAACTGCTGAGCGCTGCTCAGCTGTTGAGTCGCTTGTAGTGAATAGTTAAGGGGCTGCGTACGCATGATCAACCGAACTGCTCTCTGCACGCACGAAAAGGCCCAAAAACACATGGAATTTAATGCACCGTTTGAGCTCTCAATAAGTCGAACAACTGGGTTTCCAACAATGCACGTGCCAGTTTCCGCGCAAATTTGTAACCTGGGAAGTTTGGCAGAGTCAGAGGCTTACACCACACCTCTCACGTACAGTCCTGGGTTCAACGGTTTGCCCTCATGCAACGCGGGTAAGAATTCATTCTGGTTCTGATTTGATTACCTATCACTGTACATATGCCCAAATGGTTGTTTTTATGACGAGGGTGTCTTATCCTACTTCCTTGACATTGTCCTTCAGGGCTTGATGCGAATTTTGTTACGAAGTTTGCGTTACCAGCTGAGCAGGTAAGATATTTGCGACTAAACTAAACAGGGGGCCACCATCAGAAACGAACTCATAAAATATTCGTTATGTACGCTCAGGTTCTTCAAACTGAATAACATGAATGTAACAAATAGCCTTGGAGGGGAGAACTGACGCTGTGTGTAGAAGAGGGTGTTTTGCGCAAAATCATATCACTCTAGACGCCTCAACACCTAGGAAGACTGGGTGTATTATTGCTGCACTCGCTGCGTGAGTTATCCAATGTTCCTAGTGAGTACCTGTGACACAATGCTCAGATTTCCACAAAAACATTTTTCTTGTTATCTGAAAAAACTGACAAAAACAACCTGATGCAATCAATCGTAAGTAAACGGATGCCACTATTCTCAACCAGTCAGCTTGGATGCCAAGGTTCAAAATACTCTCTAACTGCTCTCACATAAAGTCTCACATAGAGGTTGCTTGTACGCAGCGCTTATTCCGACAGGGCCTCTCAGCTTGGCTTAGTAGACTCATAAACAGTCATTCTTTTGCAGTTGAGAGTGTACTGTGCAATTAAGCCCAGCATGTGCGAAATGGCTGAGGAGCAGTGTACCAGTGTTGTTTAAGTAGAAATCATCCGTCACTAATGGCTGGTTGGACATTATGCCTTTTGTTCGCCAGTGGTCGGTTAGCAATATGATTAAGTTTCACCTATATACCACCTTTTAATAACTCCGTCTGTCTCGTGACCAGCTATCTGTTGAGTGACAGAGTACGGTAGCTTTCCCACAGGTGATACTGCTAGGAACCACTTACTTAACTACACACTGGAAGGTATTGCTTCTTCGAGTTGCTTGTTCACAGGAATTTGTCACTTTTTAGCCATCCAATTAACTCTTAATTACACTTAGATATATCTGACTTGTTTCTAGCAAGCACATCATCAGCCCCCAACGACAGGACCGTGTTTTTTACCTGCACGAGTACTTTACCACTATCCTGGGTACGTTTAACTGATGGTAACCATGTGAAGATTCACTACGGTGGAAAGGGCACAGATGATAACCAATAGCTTATGCTTTGCAACCAATCCAGAAGTGTGTGTGTAAGATTATCAGTAAGCTACTCATTGAATAGAGACCGGAAAGGGTCAATTTTTCCGTACGAAAATTTCTAAGCACCAAACAGGCTTCTAAGTGGGGTGCATTCCTTGCCCTGAGACTTCGCTGTTCTCTCAAGGTTTTTCCAAGAAAATCATATATAGATTAGCGAATATACACTCTCTGCAAACTTAATTTGGTTCTTTCGAGAGACTCACCTGGAACCCAGCTGAATCTCTCGTTTATGGTGTTCTCAGGTAACTGAATGTGCTGCACCAGGCCGCCTCATGTTTCAGTTTGCAGATGAGTGTATATTCGCTAATTTCGTGCAATTTGGTTTCAAGTAGAACATAAGGTTGACGGAAACCCGGTGACTGCGCCTACCTGATGAGCCCGAAGAAGGGCGAAACCGGTCGTGGGCTGTGGATGGATTTTCAGCAACCTTATAAGTAGTACATTACATATATAGATTAATTATATAACCGCTGATTGAAGCTACCTACGTATACAGTGAACAAGCGATTCATACGAGTAGAGGAGGGTGGACATAGAATATTTTGTATTGCCAGAATTCGCTCCATCCTGGGATGTATCGGATGTTACTAAATTGCACAAAGAGGTGACTAATAGTTTGTCTTTCAAGGCAAATATCACACCCAGGAGCTGGGAGCAAGAAGAACTCGATGCCTTAGACAGTCTTTTTTCATCATTTAATACACTTTAAGTGACCAAACTGCTGTTTCTAGCTGTTGGAAATTTTCGCTAGTCGAATAAGCTCCAGGCTGTGGACTTAGAGTTGGATGTTAGTTTATTGAAACGCAGCATGTGGTTGGTCTCGGAGAATGTTTTTTTCGGAGACTTTGCATTGGTTGTAAGCAAGTACGGCAAGTACGATCAACCAGTGCGCCCCAGTCTGTGCGAGTGGATTAGGCTTTCCTGATCATGTCCTTCATTTATAGTGACGATCGACGGATCTGCTACAGTCCATCGAGCATACACTCCTGTAAATAGGTAAAAAAATAAGATAATCGTTCAGCTGTAACACTCGTTTGGTGGCTAGCTGCGATACCACCCGAAGCACGAGGGCTTGGTTGCCCAAGCCTAGACAAGGGAAGTCGAGAGGCAGAGGTCGGGTTCGAACCACGAACTTCCCGGTCAGTCAATTCACGTTCTAACCACTGAGACTTCTCGCCCCGTGCTCCTGTGATATCAGGTTTATTCGCATTCTGTTGAATACCATAAGGTGCGATCTTCAAGTTGCTGTGTTTTAATAGTTCAACTCGACGTGACCATCGCAACATTTTCTTCGCACCGAATTGGTCCCAAGAGATCGGTTTGTGGATTGTGCGTCCTAAAGCGCATATGAGTAGTTTTATCTAGTCCCATATTCTGTTTTCCCAATTGCTATAGCGGTTAGTTAAGGTTCACGAAATCCCAGCGTTAAGTTTCCGTATCGTTAATCAGTTACCCACAGCCCGAAAGTAGACTGTTCAACTCATATCCACAAGGTTATTTTTAGGAAACCATACTACAGATGATTCCAACTTAATTCTGCCTGTCTCATCAGGCGACCTGTCTGATACAGTGGAATTTATGACTTAAACTTACATACACAAGTAGTATTCTGCCGGCAAGTTGTACTCAGCAAAAACTATATAGCAAATGCCTTTCCTCCACAAGCTTTCACCCTCCACGTTTATATGTTCATCTTACTATGTTATTCAACAAACTAACCGCATCTCGCCAACTCCCATGCTTCACGTACATTACAACTGAGCTACTGTACAGTCAGTTGCCGTTTTTTATTTATCTCTACTACAAAGCCTACTCCGAATCAATATCACCGCCCATCAAGGTCATCAGATGGGAGCGAACCCCTTGTTATCAATCTCATTTGGCTTGAGTTTCAAAAATACATCTGGGCCTCATGGGAACTGCAAATTTAATAACGCTCGAATCCCCCAAATGATAAAGCTTGATACCCCCCGACCGCAATGTCCATCTCAATCCAGCCTTCCGAACTTTTATTTTCTTTTGCGTTGACTTTCTCCAGCGTCATTGTCCTAAAGATCGGATTTCATTAAAATGCCTTGGGCAAGGCAGAAGTCGTAGACGCCGGAGTGTGGGAGGGAGCTGTTCAGGCCAGAAGAAAAGCTTCAGCTTCGGTTACACGGAGGAGAGAAAGTGGATCGGAGGGGGTTTAATCCGGGTATGTAAGTAAACGCCGTCCACAGGAGAATGTTTGTCGAAAGCCAACAAACATGGCCAATTAATGATCCAGATTATCAGCTCATCTGTTTTTCACCCATCTGGATGTGAAGTTTCGGCTGAACTGTTAGCGAATCAAGTCGCCAATTAGTTTTAACCTCTTGCGTTGTGCTGCACAACTTTCAAAATGTGAAAAGTACCTAACTTTTATGGTCACTGCGGAACGTTACCAACATTATGCCTGTCGTTTTATATCAACTGGACAGGGGCCTAGTTTGTGTTGCTTCCTCTCCATAGGTTGACAAAGACGTATAAGGCTAGCGGCTTCAGTATAAACACAACTAGTCCCACGAATAACGGCCCGCGATGAAGACGGAAACTAGGTTAGAGTGTTGAATGGACGCCAAACATGCAGTCAAATAGCGTAGGCCGGACCTAACAGCATACTGGTCCTCAGGCAACTTCGGAGTCACACCAACCAAACCACGGGCGAGCTATAGGGAACGCATATTACAATCACACCTATAACAACCAATCATCCACTTCACCTACTTTTCTATTCGGATGCAACGTTCGCTTTTTCAGCCCACTTAAACGACACAGAACTATCCACACAGATGTGGAATGACCGGCACTCTTTTGGAAGGTAACTGACATGTACTTAACCTCAAGCTAACAGAAAATATTCTCAGAGGAAATTACTCGCACGAAGATCTTTCGATAGCCGATGAACGGTTTCACCCTTTTTGGGACTCATCAGGTAGGCATAATCCCCGGGTTTCCGTTCTACTTAAAACCAAATTATACTAAATTCGCAAATTACACTCATTTGCACACCAGCTTAGTTTTAACGGGAGACCCAAATGAATCCCAACTGAACCTCTTGTTTGTAATGCGCTGCACTAGATATTGCAGCGCATTTTATTGAAAGAAGCTATTCATAAGGTTGCTGAAAATTCCTCGACAAACAACGACCTGTTTCACCAATATTTGGGTCATCAGGTAGACGCAGTCCACTCAGCAGCACATTCAGTCGAAGAGTGTCATAAACGGGAGTTTCTGCTGGGATTCACTCTGGTCTCCCTTTGAACCAAGCTGGCGTGCATTTCAAGAAATGAGATTCTCCTAAATATTGGTCGAGGACTGAGAGATGAACGTAACTAGTGTAGCCTACTAATCAGACTTACATGGGACCTCAATCAGATCTGTCTAGACTTTTACAAGACAGAGGTATACTTCGTTCGTTATAGATGCAGCCAACTGACGACCAGATTTAAATCAACCCTGGCCGGATCTTTTTTCATACAAACTACTCGAATCTTTATTCCTTTGGGATAGCGGAAAGTTGACCGCCGATGGTTATCTCCTGATGATCGACTTGTTTGTTGTCAGCACGACCGGTATGTACGCAGAGTGAGTGGCTATTAATTCTCCGTGTCTCTCTCGTCTGCTCGCACCAACCTAACTCGTGTCAAGCACGCAAGACTCATTGTGACTGACGCTCAGACAGTGTGTGAGCGCGCGTGTGTCGCTCTGCATGTCGTGGACCCACCCATAAGCGAAATTGCATGTCACCTAAAGGGGTCATCGGAGAGTTTCATTTAGGTCTCCTTTTGTGAGTGAAGTGAAGGTAGGGTGTGGACTGAAGGGCTTGCTGCATGAACTCATGTTGAGACCACAGAACGGAAATTTAGGTAGATCTGTCTAGACCCTCGTCTTCTCTCAGGAAATCAACACAGTTATGTTGAGCGTGTCGGCGACCCACCCCCGGGATTTAAACGATGTAAGTTGATGGACTGATGAGCAGGAGGGGGTTGACGAAGCTGAGCTGAACACAAATAGTCTTCACAATCTTTTGTATCTCATAAAGGCTGGTCAATCCATTGTTTTGAGACGTTCATGTTTTCAGTTAATAGCGAGTAGTGTGTAGTCAAACGCTCCGTGTCCTTCCAATGCGGAACATGGTGTTTATTTGTTTTATTATGCCTGTTTGTTTCAACTTAGTAGTGTGACTGACGCTCAGACAGTGTGTGAGCGCGCGTGTGTCGCTCTGCATGTCGTGGACCCACCCATAAGCGAAATTGCATGTCACCTAAAGGGGTCATCGGAGAGTTTCATTTAGGTCTCCTTTTGTGAGTGAAGTGAAGGTAGGGTGTGGACTGAAGGGCTTGCTGCATGAACTCATGTTGAGACCACAGAACGGAAATTTAGGTAGATCTGTCTAGACCCTCGTCTTCTCTCAGGAAATCAACACAGTTATGTTGAGCGTGTCGGCGACCCACCCCCGGGATTTAAACGATGTAAGTTGATGGACTGATGAGCAGGAGGGGGTTGACGAAGCTGAGCTGAACACAAATAGTCTTCACAATCTTTTGTATCTCATAAAGGCTGGTCAATCCATTGTTTTGAGACGTTCATGTTTTAAGTTAATAGCGAGTAGTGTGTAGTCAAACGCTCCGTGTCCTTCCAATGCGGAACATGGTGTTTATTTTTATTATGCCTGTTTGTTTCCCGAAACTTAGTAGTGGACGCTAGTGAAAGTAAATTTTCTCACCAACAGCTTGGTGACACTTTTATACCGGGCTTGAGGAAACGTGAGACAAAATACGATGCTCTGTGCCTCGGTATTCTTATGAACTGATTGAGCCAACCAAACAGTCACTGCCTCCGTATTCAATGCTGCTTTTCCTCAGGTTACATGGGAGGGCAAACGAAAATTCACTTATCTTTCACCAGGCCATCACATCTTGGGGAAAATTCTTGCTTTTCCATCAGAGTTGGGTATGACGAATTTGACGATGGCTGAGTCGGTTGGTTGTACAGATCAATAGATTAGGGATTTCCCACTAAACCATGGACGACGTGGTTGGTAAACTGCATTGTGAAATGTGGTCCTCATTCGCTAACCTTTGGTAAGTCAGTTACGTTGGGAACAAATTTATGTGGAATTTTATTCACCGGGTAAACATGTTCCTTATTGTGTTGTGAGAAGTTTTGGTAAGTTTCATTGATATTTCGTTCAGTCAGTGAAGCCAATCTACTCTGAAAAGTTGGAGAGCATCGTACACCTGTTTCGTCCTAGTTCACGATAATCGGTTGTGAGTATTTCACGAAACTCAGCAAGTTTCGAACCTGCGACCTTCCAGTCAGTGGTTGAACGTTCAAACGTCCAGCCACGAGTGACTGGTTAACAGTGTGGTTAGCTCTCGCTTAGACAGGATATAACGCCACTCAGTCTCAGCCGAAAATACTGAAAGTCTTCACACTACGCTCATTCTGTATGTGGAGTAATTTCATAAGATGGGTGAGGATTCCATCTCAAAAGTCGTCACTCGAGGAGCCAGTCAATTAGCGACCACGTGGTGTGGTATTTGTGACCGAAGGATGGGTGGCACTATATACTCTCTAAGTGAGAGTTAATCACATTGTAGATCATCCACTCGTGTCCAGACGACTAAGCGTCCTAAGTAATAGCTGGAAGGCCGAGGGTTTTAAACTCCCTGAAGTTTCGTGAGGTGCGTACTGTTGATGGTTCACAATGAGGAGGAAACAGCTTCACTGATACGATGAAATTTCTGTTCTGATTTGCGTATTATCTGGTCGGAATGTCCTATTGAGTCTTGTAATTAAGATCCTCAAAAACAGCAGCCTACTATTTACCCCGGCTTCTGTAACGCCTGTCATCACTAACGCTCTCATTATATTTTGTGTGATCAAACTATCGATTTTTACCCATGTTTCACTCGCGTGGAGAGGTAAATCGCCCTGAGGAGGATTTCATTTTCAACGTAGCCTAATGAACGACTCACTCGACCCCCGCGGTGAGCAAACGCGCAATTTACCACATGCAACCAACTGAGTTAAACTCACGCCCCCCCCCCAAGAAGCTTTCGTGACCATCACGCAACCGGTCATAACCTGTTCACAATTAGTGCTCCATCCTGCATGTGCGTACGCCCTGTGCGTGTGAACTCGCTGACTATTGTGGAGGCTTTGGTGTAGTACCCAACAATCAGCAGTGGTTTAGGTGCAACGAGAAACGGCCTTGTTGGGGACGGATGACTAAATGTCCGGTGCTCATCATTACGAAAAGGGGATGCACGACTCCGTCACGACTGAATGAAAAAAATTATGTATGTGAAAGCCAATAGAGGAATAGCGTCTCGACAAAGTTAATTCAACTTGGAAAAGCCCTCAAGAAAAACTTTCAAAACTTTCCCGATGCCATGGAACAAGCCACTGGCGAACGTTTTTCTCGCAGTATTCCGTAAAACACAGTGCATAGACTGTTGAAATATACCGACACATTGCCCGTAAAATATGTTCCTAGTTCGAAGCTAGTAAGCTAGCTCAGAACTGGAGAGTCGGCCCCTAAGCGTAAACAACTACCACTGTAGTGATCCACTGGGTCCCTCCGGACGAGGATGAAAGATAGATAATATGACAGGCTAGGTCCGCACTTACACGCCATTGAAGAAATCAATGCGATGCAATACATTAATGAACAAGTACAATCTCCCATCCAAGAAGACTGCTGCTCCGCAGGGTTCAAGACGGCGTCCATAGTCCACAGGTACTTAGTTCAAGATCCTAGAGCAAAAATCCCTCCAACGAAAGACGAAATACCTTATTCCTGTGTTGTGGTTTCTCTTGAGTGATCACCAAAATCTAGTTAACCAGTATTCACACTGTGGTTGACTCGAAAACTCCGCAAACCTTGTTTGTTTCGGACATGTTGATTGTTCTGGATTATCCTCTACCTAAGGTGTCTTACACCTTATGCTGAGTCTCCACACAAGGATCTACTTTACACAAACATATGCGTGGAACAATATACGTTCACCGCCGCAAGTGCTGAGTTAGCTTTGAGGAAGCTAACCTGAAGCCCAAAGTTACCCCAGGAGTTAACTTAGTTTCTAATCGTTCTTACCCTCGATTCGAAGCGGGCCTTTTGCAAATTGGGTGATGTCCCCCTACATATGTGACGAAAATGGCAAAGATAACGTGTGTTTTACCGGCTTTTACTGCTCATGTGCTGCAACTGATTCGAATGAATTCTTCCTTCCGAGTAGAAATTAGTCAACCAAAACAGAAGGAATAATCGATTCGAGAAACTGATCATTACTGTGGCGAAAGCATCAGATGAATCGATGTCATACACAAGTCTGCTTGACAGAGTTTCAATAAGAAGATCCAAAATGTTAACCATTACATCAAATAATGGGGCACAACATTGGAGGTTGAAAAGTAAAATGATCACTGATTGAGCCGATTTCCATAAAATGTCCACTGATGAAAGATTCTGAGGTTCCGCCTGTAATTCCGACTGAAAAGACCGTTAGTATGACTGTTTTTGTGTGGAAGTCATTTCTGCTGCAAAGGATCTATTTAACTGCCGTAGTTGAAGAGTTCCACTAGGAACAGTTTTACTGGTCATAATCGCAAGATTGCATAAAACTAACTTTTTGAGCTTTTGTTTGAAAAGTCACAATTTTGGAGCAATCGGTCGCACCACCACTAGGAACAGTTTTACTGGTCATAATCGAATGACTGCATAAAACTTACTTTAATGCTGATTTTTTTGAGCTTTTGTTTGAAAAGTCGCAATTTTGGAGCAATCGTTCGCACCATATGAAACGCTCGTAAGTTGGATACCTTCTTGTATGGGTGGCTCCTGTGGTTTTTAAGTGGAAGAAAGCTGCACAGTACGTGCTGCTTACAAAAATATCAATCCAAGAAGAGCATAGAGGAAAGAGACCGTATGAGAGTCCTAATTTCAAAAACTCTAATTTCGGTAGGCCTTGAGGTTAAGAGTTGTTTAATCTGATATGAAGTGTATCTTTCGTGCCACTAGCATGCTGCTATAATCCAACAGAAAAAATTTCGGTAGGCCTTGAGGTTAAGAGTTGCTGTTTAATCTGATATGAAGTGTATCCTTCGTGCCACTAGCTTGTTGCTATAATCCAACAGGAAGTTCCATTTCCACAAGAGACTGTCGGTAAGAAACGAGCAACTTGCCGTAGGAGTCATCTACAATTACTTTAGTGAACTTGGCTAGATGATACAAGCTAGGTTAGCGAATGAGTGATCCCCTAGAAGCCAATGCACGACAAGTGATGGGTAGTTCGTAGTTGAGTTGGCAGGGTTGCGATATAACTGAATGGTCCTCGACAGAACTTTTCGATCGTTGCTGAGAACATCAAAGTCATACAGCTGAGAAGGGCAGGAGTGAACAATGGGAGAACCGCAGACGCATACTTTACCCATCGTCATGAAGGGCTAATTATTCAATTAGAGTGTAAATCAGGAAGCAGTTGAATATTGCTCCCAATTTTCCTTCTCGATTGCGGAAGAATCGATCGGCGGTTCATCTCTCTGGGGGATACACCTGTTTCGTGTTCACAACCGCGTTACAGTTTGGAAGCTGGAAAATAGTTTACACCGTATTTTGGATTTGTTTTAATCCCCATCTTTGAGTAAACACTGTTCCGAATTCCACAGTTAATCCAGGACAGGCGTCTAGCTAATTAATGCTTAGACCCCGATGAGGAGTGAGAACACTGATTTTGTAACCTGTTGGCTCAGATTCACATCTAACTTTCCTAGGATCGACAGCTTGTGACTAAATTTGTCAGAAGTGACCCGCGATGTAATTCACAAAAATTCTACCTAGAAGTTGACCTCACGTTCAAGACCCCCCGTGACCTCCCGGTTTCCTCACCCAAAATATGAACACAAATGGCAAGATCCAAAGCTGATTGTCCTTACTTTCATTCGATCTCAGAACGTGACACCTCGTCATTATCCCCATGACATTCTGTTTGACTCCAGCCCGCATGCTTGACCAACTCGCTGGTTAGGGGTAATCTACCAACCAAGCGGGTTCAATTAACGTGGTGAACCAAACAAATGACCATCATATTGGTGGTGTTGCCAGGTTGTACGGGACATCCATCAGCTGTGATTCAGTGTCTGTCACAGTCCCGTGAGGCCCGAACCCAATGTGCTTATTGTTTTTGGGGCTGTTTTTTTGTTGGTTCATGTAGGTACCTTATCAGTGTGTACACAACTGGATTGGTTGGTAAATAGCCGTAATCAGACAAAGGGAAAGAATGCAAACACCCGTTTGTCAAGTCGTTGGGGCACAGGATAGGTCCTGGTGAACTTCGTGACATTTGGCTCAAGATGGCAGGATCCTAGTCGGTATGTGACGTGGATTCAGACAGACATTCCATGCAATTTGGCACGGTAATAAATGAAAATTTGAGTCATCTGCACACCAGTTTCTTATCCGATGCGTAGTATTGGGACATGCACGGTGTTGTTTCTATCCGAGCGGATGCACGAGTAGACTGAGTTAATTCATCAGTTTTCATATTGCGCAGGAGACGAGGTAAAATGCCAACAAAGTCTGGGCTAACGACTGTCACCACCCGCCCACTTTCTCCGAACCGATTTCCTCCGATGTATCCAGAGGAACAACAAAGTAATCAAGTCATATAGTTTAAATTCTTTTTCGATGGGTGACTGCAGAGCAGATGAGATACCGTTAGATTGTCAACGTTTACGAAATAAAAGCCTAGAAATGAGTTTGAACCATGGGTCTGTAAGTCAGAAGCTTATGTCCTTACCTCTGAATCACTTGAGCTCACGATGGAATAATGACCTACGTCCAGCTCATAGTATGGTGTAGCTAACCATTCAATAATGGCAGGATTGTCCCAATTATAGAGCAGGCAAAAGCAGTCCGATGTTGCACTCGAAAGGAATAACTGTATTCCAGTTGAACCTATCCACAAAGTTCAGAAATGTCTTTGTACGTATTCCAGTTCTCTACCAGTCGAGAGTAGAATTAGGGTTTCTGAGTACAAAGTATTAAAAGCAATTTCAGCACTACCAGTCTATGCGCCCCTACTGGTATGCACACATTTTTTTCGTAGGGGAGAAGGGGCGGACTCAGGCTGACTGAACAGTGGGTCCCTATCACAAGACATCTATCACACCTGGTTTGATTTGAGCTATGTAGAACGGTAATGGAATCTCTTGCAGGGAAGACGGTGATCAATTTGATTTTAGGTGAGATGTGACGAGGGAGGGCTGGCAGATGGTCGGATGTCACCTTATTATTCCCGGACTGTCTGCAACATGGATGAATGAGTCTGCACGGTCCGGCAGCTCCAATCACGCTGGAACAGGAGGGGTGTTAAGACAGCCGCCGGCTCCGTTGAATCTGTGTGCAAGCATGCGTGCGCTACAGTCGTTAAACGCTCAGACGCAGTAGTTTATGGATCAGTGTTTCATCCTGCGTACGACGGATCTCTTCTCGCGCATGATTAGTTTTCTTCTTCGCCTTCCATCTATTCAAACTGCACCTGTGTTAGGCTCTTCCATGAAAGCTTCCAAATGACCTGAGCTGAGGATTTTTATGCACAAATCGATACACTAGCTGCATCATGGATGAAAACCGAATAGTTCAAACTTATAGAGGTGTTGAAAATTTCCCATAACGTAGATTTGGGTCTACCGGACAAAACTGCACCAACTTCATCAAGGCCGTTATAGTGAGCCAGAAAGATGGGTGTTCCCGGGATCACAGGACAAAAGGGTTGAATTCTGGACAAACCGTATTGTAGTCATTTTTTAATGCCATTGCTTGGTCCATTGTTGAGTAGAAAGTGAGTTCTGCTTCTTCATCTACGAAGCTGGGTTACAGGTGTGCTTTAAGGGATCAGACCACAACCTGACCCACAAGAAAGCCTAACTGATGAACGTCCGATGTAGTTATTAGTAGTAAACCAACCTAGCCTCTCTTCTGAGACAGAAACTCAACTGAGAGGTGACCAGTCGTGCTTTACTTTACCTACATATCATCTTACAGGTTGACAGCACCGGTAGATTTCTGTATGACCCAGTATTCACGTACAATTAATAGTCACGTGAAGGGGGCACTAGCAGTGATAGTAATGTGCAAAATACCCTCATTTGCACACCAACTTGGCAATGACGGGGGGAGGCCCAATCGAATACAAGCGAACTTCTTGTTTGTAGTATATCAAAAAGAGGGCATTTGCTCTCGATGTGGGTTCAAGTGAAATATAGGGTTAATGGGAACCAAAGGACTGACTATCCCAAAGAATTGCGTAACTAATGGTGGGTTGCCAGTGCTTTCAGCAATCCTATAAGTAGCACGTTCCTTCTGATGGTAAAGTGGTTCGTGATCAAATAGACTGGACCATTAACACAGTGACAAATAGGTTGTCTTCTATCTAACTTTTTAGGATGATTTGCTCGCAGTGATGTTTCCACATTCCATGTGAAATAAACGTGACGTCCCAGATTATGGGCATTTGCATGGAATTCCTGTATTTCCAATAAGCTGACAATACCGGAGAGTTGCTTTTCACTTCACTGTGATGTTGTAGCCGGAGTTGCGCGATGGTTCCACTTGCATTATTCCACTTGAGACAATATCTTTGGGTCTCATCCACACCTGGTCAGGTGTGATAATCAAGCGGCACTTTAGATACAAAGACATCGCAGCCAAGTCCACTGCCGAGTACTTTTGGTGAACGTGTGACACAACGAAAGCTGTCGGTGAACTTATCACACAAACTAAACAACCAGATAGATGCTCAATTCTCGTGGGATGTGGAACTTCGAATATATACGAATGATGACTTGCGAATTGATTTACTGGCAAATAGTGCTGCAGGATGCCCGATAGCTGCGTGTATTAAATGGACACTAATTGGAGAGTCGGGATGAATCACCCATGCATTATTTCCGCACAGACATCAGACGCATCTTTTGATGATACAGCAGCAAACTTGGCTAATAGCATGATATAATTTTGACTGCACCCCAGAAACTGCGCTTAACTGATGAATCCCGAGAGGGTCGAAACAGATTGTGGGTTGTTGAAGAGTTTCAGCAGCATTTCAAGTAGTGCAGTACATTGGGAAAATCTACCACGATATCTCGAATACTGTCCTAATTGAAACTTAAGGCGGACTTCATGCAGCACACTTAGCTAAAGAACATCATTAACGAGATCGACCGTTGATCTGGTGACAGTTGTCCGTCACCATGTGAGGAGTCATCATTAGTGCGCGGACGATGACGGAACATTTGGGGGTTAACTGCCATGCTCGGCGAACAGATCAACTGACAACTGAGTAACAACCAATCAACTCAGCCGAGTCACCAGTAGTTAAAAATACTGTCATTATAAAGGTGAGATTTAGCTCGGATTCAGTTAAGTCTCTCAATAAAACCATATTGGTATTCAAGTTAGTATACTTCGGGAACTTCGCATAATTCATACAATACAGCTAGACCATAAGGAAGCCTGGGAACTGCGCCTGAATGCTGAGTCCCGAGAAGGGCGAAACACACCATGGGTTGCAAAGGTTTCTCAGCAACCTTGTGAGTAGTTTATTTCAAGCACATGACTTCATATTCAAATAACTTCCACAGTAGTTCGAATAGCCTGCAAATAAGCAGTTAACAAAGATACTGATGCCATTTCCCCTTTTCAGTGGACATATCGACGTCATTGGTGTCTGGAGCGACATCTACGGATACCAAGGGGACCAAAAAACGCAAGAAGAAAGTCACTGATCCCGAAACAGACATAAACGAGGTGAAGCAACCAAAGAAGCGTGGACCAAAAAAGAAACCACTAACTAAAGAGCGGGAGGTCCGTTTGAAAACACGACGTGTGAGAGCTAACGCCCGAGAACGCAGTCGCATGCATGGTTTGAATCATGCACTTGAACTCCTTCGACGTCACGTGCCAACCTTTTCAGCAACTCAAAGATTGAGTAAAATTGAAACATTGCGTCTGGCCAAAAATTATATTCACGCCCTTTCGGAGTTGTTGCAGCGGAGTGAACCCCCGTCCCCTTTGGAATTGGCCTTTACACTAACAGAAGGATTGTCACAAAACACTTCGAATCTGATTGCGACCAAGTTACAAATCAGTCCCAGAGCACTCATTCAATTTCAGCGAAAATCCACATTAACGAATGAATCAGTGTCTCAACAACACACAGTTGCCAAGGTAGAGTATGCAGCAGGCGAAACAGAAACACGTCCAACATCTCAATTACCGCAATCTCCTCTTCAAGAAAATGGTCCCACTATCAACGGATGCTCGCTCAGTCCGCGTTCTGCATACCATACAAAGCAGTATGAAAATGCTACTGTACCAAATGCCACTATGTATAACAATGTTGAACAGCTCAGTTCAACTAACAGTCACTTCCCACTTCTAAGCCCTGTGATACAACCCTCATTTGAACCAAATTCCTACGGAGAAGTACCATACCAACCGATTGACTCTCGTCTATTTTCCTATGAATTTGCTCAACAGTTCGCCGCTCCTTCCACTCACTTCCTATACAACCCTGCTCACATGACTGATCTTGTGTGCTGTTCAAGATCTAACAGTATCTCGAGCCACTGTTCCGATTCCCTCTCACCGTTTCCCTCAAACTCCGATTTAGTTAAGACATCCATTGGTCTTCCGATTCCGGGCTATCTGATGCCTAAAGGACAATAGGTTCACAGATTATCGACTTTTGATACACTTGCTTGCCTTCGATACACATTTCTGGAGCTGTAGATTTGTCAGACTTCTTTGCATACTCACATGGCTGTATCTTGAGAGAAAATATTTTTTGTACTTTTCTAACAACATAAGAAAACAGCTTCTCTACGAGTCTTGCTCAAATCCGGGTACTTGACGATTCTTGAACAATCTGGCTTTATCATTTATTTTAATGGTTGCACGCCCAACTGAGTGATTCTAGAGTGAGCTGTCAGACAGGATATAAATTAAAGCCCTTGACAATGCACCCGCATCCGAAGACACTTTTTGTACTCCTTAAGTGACCAAAAACAACTTGGTGATCGAAAGAAAGCTCATAGGCGTGGATTCACGGGCCCCGACTCGCCGTGGATTTAGTGGACACTTCTCACTTAACTCCACTGTACTTGTTCCGCCTCCTAAATAGTAATTAACTGATTGGAACCTACTAAGGAACCGTCCCGGCGTCGTAGTCTGATGAAAAGTCTGATTAGAACCAGCGAATTTACATCAGTCACTTTTCGAACTAATCCACTTGGTCCGATACAGAATAGTGATGGCTTGATGTCGTTGCCAAGTCTCCGAAACCAATTTGAGGTTAAGCTTGTGTGTACTTTTTCAGTCCTCGAGATAGCTCATGGTGGAACCCTGCAGACTGGAAGTTTCGTAATCCGAATTCAAGCTCAGAATCTCAACTGTTAATGTCCAGGCTTGGGTAGCCTGACAGTATCTCAGCCCTCGTGCTTCTTCTGAGTGGCATGGCATCTAGGCATAGAAAGGGCTTCACAGCTGAGCTATTACTTTATTATCATTTTTTTCGTTCAGTCCAAACATCACGACAGGAGGTACAGCTGATGAGAAGAAATTTTTTTGAAACCTCGTTTGACTTCTGATGTTTTCATCGAAGATCCACACATGTGTTGAATAGATCGTATAGCTAAAATTGGAGGCTGGTTCGAAAATAGCATGACGCTTTACCCAGCTTCTTGACAGTGATCATTACTGGATTGGCTTTGACATGCTTCACAGAGTTTTAAATGCCAGGTAAGTCAGGGCTTAGAGATATGGTTCAAACAATTTTCTGGCCCACCAGATGGTGGACTTGGGCCGCATGAAGACTTCATCCTTGAAGAATAAGTAACTGTAGTAGTCTTTTGCCGGCCACCACTGACTTACAGTGAGTCTTCCGAGTAATCGAATTTGATTTCGAGACCTAATCATACTCTTGTTCAGATTTGAGTGCCTTACTGGTAGCTCATGAAGTTTATAGCAATAAACATCGTGGATTCATATAATTCCACGTTAAATTAGTCGTTAGTTACTATCAACGGCTGCACCCGCCAGGGTGAGTGAACGAAAACTGTCCATTACTAGATTTGGTAGATAACCAAAGCTATGCTTGCGGCAGGAAATTTCCAGTGTGGTGTTTCTGAGTATGTACCCAAAGGGCGCATCACCATAGTGAACCTCGTCCACCTAGAGGGCCTGTACCATTATTTGTAAAGAAAAATCAATCGTTGTGAAACATCTGCGCATTGTCTCTTTCAGAATAACACCTGAGTTAAGTTTAAAAAGGTAAAAAAACTGTCCGACTGCCTTTCGTGGCGTGGTTTTTGCTGAGGCGTATGTGTAGTAATCTCTGAATCATGCAGAATGTCCTATAACCCAACAGAAAAGTGCAAGAAGAAATATTGTTAAGCGGCTAATTATTTATTCTGGATGGAGTTTCAAATTTGGTAAGATGGATAAGGGACAAATTCACTAGATTTTGGATACCATGTCAACGCGAAAAACCTACAGTACATCACTCCAGTGTGGGGACAGTTTTACTGATAAGAAACGATTTTTGTGTTTCAGTCTGCTCAAAATCTGAGCATCCTGACCATAGAGGGAACATGAGTATGAGGAGCTGTTTATTAGTTATATCCCGAACTGGATCAAGATGAAATCATTTTATGTCCAGAAATCATAGCGTTTGCAACATCACTCTCCAAGATGAACATTGTTCATTTCTCAAGCAAAGCCAGTTGAAGCATGCATGCTGTCAACGTGCCCAGGCCTTTACACGTCGCAATGGTCTACCTGTAACATCACTTCCACACCCCTTGTCTCGTTTGATGATGGACGTCAAAAAACCCCAACCCCCTAGTGAGTTGTTTATTGGTCTTCATATACTGGCTGCTTATTAGCTTGTGAGGAGCGGAATGAGGAGCAACCAATCTATCCATTGGTCTGATATTGTTTGGGTGATTGCTATTTGACAGGCTGCAAGCTGATAAATGATTGCCAGTTCTTTTGTGCTCACACTTTCATCCGAACTGTCGGGTTTGTTCCAGACACCTCACTGATCATGTTGGTACAGGCTGACCTGCTCAATTCCGTGTCCAAAACTGTTAACCAGAGAAAAACGAACCGAATCTACTTAGGGGGACTGCAGAAACAACGAATTTTATACGCTGCTGTTTAAGTAAATGTACCTTGAATTTTTTTAGGATTCAGCCTATCATTTCTTGTACTATGTGTCCAGCGATCAAACAAACCTATGGGAACAGTGTTGCAGCATGTTCGATAACTCGTTAATTGCCAAACAGAACTCTTTTGAACATATCTTTACACTTGCTAATAACATTCACGCAGGTGACAACATCACGTGAGATTTTTACTGAACTACGTTAGTGTCAGTAGCCCAGGCATTCTTTTAAGTTGCCAAAGCTTTTCCAACTACAGGAGCACCCATATGAGATCTTATTTGACTTGCCAGTTTCAGATCCATCGTTGCAGTTGTAGCTAAACGGGAGAGAGAGTCCATTTCAACGTGCCATGTTTGCCACAGACACGAGTGGAATCGATCCGTCGCAACTTCAGAAACCTCCGAACAACTCGTCAGTATGCAGCAAAGCCTAAAGGAGCATTTTCACCTGTGGTACTTTTGGCATATCTGCTAAAACTGATGTAGTTTTTGATAAGTTAGCTGGGATTTTTTTAAACACTTTCCAAAGGCGAACACCTCAGAGCACACGGTATTCGCACTGTCGAACAGGTAAACTGCAAATTTCTTGTCCTTTCAATGCTGCTAATCCATGTTGAAAAGACGAAAAGCACTGCACAGCTATAACGTCCTTATTTGTAGTCAGCATTATCGTGCATGATAATTCAGTAAGGAGTTTCGAACTCGTGACCTCCCGACCAACAGTCGAACACTTAACGGGAAGGTCGTGAGTTCGAAACCTCGAGTTTTGTGAGATGTGCTGTGTTGGTTATTCCTGATGGGGGTGAAACAGCTGTACAGAGCTTCTCGGCTTTTCAGCATAGATTGGCTCCAACGACAGGACGAACTATTTAGGGAAAGCTATCAGATCTCCTCAGGCCATCGTCAAAGTAAACAATACCAGAAAAAAATGAATCTATACAGGTCCGCTGAATGCTGTGGAGCTTTCAACACATGTGTATGAATGGACCATCTTTCCAGTCTAGTTGTGGAGGACACCTTGTACTGGTTATATAGCTATAGCCAAGTGAATAATCAGCTATGGCTGAGTGGTAAACTAACTAGCCAGATGGTGGCTAGGTAGGTTTCGCCAAAACCTGAGACAGTGGCATTACTGAAGGTTTACATGGAAGTGTACGGTAAATGCGAAAAAAACTGCAACGCGCAATGGATTTCCGATAGAGCTTACACACATGCGAGAGTGAGTTATTCAATCGGTCGATCGCTACAAAGCACGATTTGAAACAAGTCGTTCTAGTTGTTCTTGAATATCATTCTTATGGAGATGCTTTCCGTCGCTAAGTGTCCGTGCTTCATTCATAAAAATACGAATATGTCACCAGTTGCTGAGTTTCATATTTCTGATGAGACCACTCCAACATCTTTCTCTAAATGAAACGTGCGATTCCGAAATTCCTAACTGTCATTACTTTTCAGACCTTGCTTTCAGTAACATGCAAAACAGTAATATAAGTAACTGAAAGCTCAACGACAACTCATTCTTGTGTCCAGTGCAATCATCAGACAATGTGGTCTTTTTCTTGGTAGTTTTGGCCGAGGTCAGATCCAGATGAATTGGAAAACTGCCAATAAACTTTTACGACCAATTAACTTTATGCACGACAACTTCGTGATGTAGGACGGAACCAGACGAAAATGAAATCGGCAAGCTATGTAGCTCATCAAATCGCTCAGACGTATAACAGTCATTGCTTATCGTGGAGACTGCAATAATTTAATATGGGAAGCACGTATTGATAAGAGGTGACAGGCTTTGCCGAAGGGCAAAAAATAGAAACTCCTGCAAGTGTCCACAAAATTTTTAGAGTTTCAACAACGTCGTGGTTCACAGACACCAGACCAAAAACCTTACCTCCGAAGGGAATCTAACCCCGATAATCACACAAATGTTCGTTCCTCGTGTCTGGTGGAACTAGAAGATCGTAAAAAACAATTTTCAGTTGACACGGGCCATACTTCAGAGAAGGGAGCAATGAGTCTAAGGGTGATCTATAATTTTGATAAGGTTAAGCACTTCAGTGTTCTCATATCTCTGTTAATCATTTGTATTCACATTTTTGCCCACTATTTAGTAAACGAAACCGAAAACAACCAGTGAAAGTTTGTCTAATTCTCATCTCGAGACTTGAAAGTCTTTAATCACGTGCAGCAGTTGTGGGAGGAGCTATCTATTCTTTCGTTTGTTAACTTTGGACTTTGCGGGGTATCATGACCCATTTGGCATTAAAGAGCTCCGGTTCATGGACCATAAACCGTCCGTTAAATAAACGATGAGCAGCAATCCAGACTTAGTGAACGTCGCATGTTAAACAGCAGAGTTGATCCAAAATGCACAAATTGAGCGAATCAGTGTCGGTCAGCATGGAAGCACCTCTATTGAGAAGGCCTCATTTCTAGTACTAGAAACGGTTTCGCGAACAGCGGGAGTTTTCTTCCTTGGTTCAAGGATGACCTTCGTCCGCTA